GCCATGCCTTTCTATCTAAAGGATATTTTGTCCATCTATGTTGCTCCAAACATGTTTATTTCAAGTTTAGAGTAAATGGTTAATGAAGTAAATGGGTCAGTTCCACAATGCCTAGGCTAGTCATATATCAAGTGAAAATAAACTTACCTCTGTTCTTTTTATAGGTAAAAAACTGGGTTAAGGAATTAAGAAAAATGTTGGGAAATGAAATCTGTTTATGTATAGTAGGTAAGTCTTTTTTAACATGTGATTCTAATGACTGAATCGGAAATGTTTCTTTTGATTAACAGCATCTTCCAAACACTGCTTTGACAGGTTGTACATGTGAAGGGGTAAAGCTTATGTTAATTTAATATTTAAAATGCAATTGGAGCTAGAAGTTTCAGTAGATCACACTGAGGAAAAGAGTTTTTAATGATATACCATGTTAGAAGTGCATGGTACAGACACCTGCAGACTGTAGTTTAACAAAGAGAAACCTAGAACTCAAATGTGTATTATCCTTCTTGCAAGTACTCAAACATCATGTTTTTTATTGTTCTCAGTGGCATAGACTAGATGCTTGTCTGTTTTCATAATCAAGTGCTTGGGTGGGGTGGAGTGGGTCTTAAAGCTTGGATATTTCAATGCAAACAGAATGCAACAAATACTGGGTTTAGATTTAAAATTGGATCTAGTGATTAAAACACTTTCAGGAGGACAGATGTATGGATAGTCTACAAAAACTACCTCTACAGCACAGATAAGCTGCTAATAAATTGCAAAAGAGTAGCAGAAGGCTGAATTGGTGGATTATGTGGAGGTTTTTACCTATCCTGATCTCTCTGCAGAAGTAGAACTTCGTCTTCATTGCCTGTAAATGTTTGAGTGAGAGGGCATTCTTAAATCATACTGTTGTGCTCCAAGTTGAACCTGTGTAAGAGTCGGTCTTTACTACGACAGCTTGTAAGAACATGATAGGGTACAATGATTACATGACTGCTTTCTTTTTGGGTAATTTTGGAGCGCAAAGACTTGAAAGATTAATTTGTTTCCAACAGGTAATAAAATAGACTTGGAAAAAGAGAGGCATGTTTCAGTGCAAGAAGCAGAAACGTAAGTCACACCAATTATTATTAGAAACAGTCATTGCAGAATTATGCTGGAGTAATAAACTTGTGATGCTGTTAACAACTGGCAGGCATAAACCAGCAGTGCCTAGCTGGCTGCTCTGTTAAGTGTTCTGTTAGTATCTGAGTCCCAGAATGTCCTTACTGACCAAAGTGTAACTTGAGAGTTGTACACGTTTAAAGTCAACGTTTGCAGTTCAAATGCATTTCTAGATGTGAAATTTTCTTTTATTTCATCTAGTGTTTTTCACCAATCATGGCAGTTTTAACCACATAATTCCCTTTTTATATTAAATCCTCATGTGTAGATTAACTAAACTTGGAATAAAACCTCTTGTGATCATCTTTTTGCTTCATGTAAAGTGGCTTAGAAAGATGGAGTTCTTTAGTACAATGAAGTTTTGTATCTACATTCCTATAGGTATGCTGAATCTGTTGGAGCAAAACATTATCATACTTCAGCTAAACAGAACAAAGGAATTGAAGAACTGTTTCTTGACCTTTGTAAAAGTAGGTATTGTCTATTTGGTAAAGAGCTCATTCACAAAATGCTCAAGGCTTCAGAATGTGTAAAACCATATAGAAAAGCCTTAGTGTAGACTATTACTAAAGATTTATTTTATCTCAGTCTTCTTCAAACTACTTATGTACTGTAACGGCTATGGATGATTACAATATTGCAAATTCATGCTGTACCCCAAAAATGTCTTTGTCATTTGTTGGAGCACCGACTGCTGTTTCACTCAGCATGTGTAAAAAGTAACCTCAAATCAAACTTCATGTGATTGGTCTCACTGTTGCCTGCTTGAAACTCACTGTTTCAGCCTCTTTCAAAAATCTTCTCAAATGATGTCAATTACAAATGATAAAGTCAAAAGTTGTAATGATGCACAGCTAAGCAAATGGTAAAAATCATGGAATGTAGGATAAAAACATTGTAACACAGGGAAGTTGTCCTATTCCTTGTGTTCTTATGATACAAAAATTTAAGCAGAACTTCACCTGCATGTCTGAAGAGTAGGCTGGGTTTTTTTGGGGGGTGGGATAGTATATGTGTGGGGTTTCTTGTTTGTTTTCTTTTTTAACAGGATGTTCTTGATAAGTAGTATATGTGTGGGGTTTCTTGTTTTTTTTTCTTTTTTAACAGGATGTTCTTGATAAGAGTGGGTAAATCTAGCTTTTGCAGTCACTAACTCCAGAACATCTGAGCATCTAAGCTCTCTCTTAGTCAACAGGAGCTGCAGGATGTTTGGTGCTTTAGGAAGAAGATTTAAGTATGTTCTTGCAGCTATGCTATGTGATACCTGAGTACTTACTTCTGCATACTAAATAGGAGAAACCAGTCTTGCTGAACTTTGTATCTGTGCGTGTAACCCAAATAGATTAAGATCTCAGTCTTGTGTGAAAATGCAGTGGAATGTGATCTAATATATTTCTTCCTTTACAGGAATGATAGAAACTGCTCAAGTGGATGAAAGAGCAAGAGGCAATGGTTCCAGTCAGTCAGGAATAGCAAGGCGAGGTGTACAGATCATTGATGATGAGCCACAAGTACAGAGCAGTGGAGGGTGCTGTTCTTCTGGATAATTATAAAACTGTGCATCACTGCCCTCTCGATATGAAGACTGCCATATTCCAAGTCACGCATTCTTTACCAATGGAGTAATAGGATTAACAGTATTTAAAAATAATCATATGTAACACTGCAGAGACCTTAAGTGCTAAACTAGTGGCGTCTGTGACCAGAGAATTGGCATTTTCTACAGTGGTTAACAAAGCAATTACCAATGGCCTTTTTACATATTTTTCTTTAATGAGGAATAATATGCATGTAGAAAAGACCTACTTAAAGGCTTCATTTATATTCTTTTAAATCAGATCATTATTTAATAACTTATATACATTGTTGTTGGAATGGTATACGTTTTTGCAGCTCTTTGTATTTTGTGGTAGATTGAATTGTATCACTTCTAAAATGCAAATTGATTTTTTTTTTTTTTTTTAAATTAGCAGATATCTTAAGTAATATTTTTGCAGGGCCTCCACAAGCCTATAACTGTCAACTACTTTGATATATTCTGTTCATCCTGTATGCCAAGCTGGTAAAATACATTGTAAATTACATATTAAATATTTTATCTGCTTTTACAATTGCAGATGCAGAAATATGTACATCAGTCTTGTCAGTGATTGTGAAGTAAGTCAGTGAAAGATGCAAGCTTTTCATGTGTACTGTTGAATTGCTCATTCTATTCCCCCTACCTGAAAACAGCTTGTTTTGGTACATTCATAGCTACAGCATTTTTTTTAAGCCTTTTCTGGCAAGCAGCAGTATTTAGAGTATCCCCTTAGTGGGAAGAGAATGCTCCCGTAGACTGCTGTTGAACATTGAGAAGTTTGACTCCCAGCTGAAACAGTTGGCGCATGCATATATCTTGCCTCTGCAGTTACTTTGGCCTCTCAGAATACCCCCAGAAAGTCAAAGCAACTTGAGCCCTCATCTCTCTGGGTAAACCAGATGCATGGGAAACTCTTAAGCTGCATTAATACATTTGTGTCCCAAGACAGCATTATAAACTATTAATGAGCATAATTTTTTTCCCCGTGTATTGCAGGGCTTGAGTGAACAAATGAATTGGCGTTACCTAGAACTGTTTCTGATTTGGAGTGATTAAATGGAAGATATGAAACTTGCCAGATGCAATTGTAGCTTTGGGGATACTAAACAGAACTGATCTTACTCTTGACTTGCTCTTTCTCTTGTAAAACATTTTGAGGCCCACTTAAGTTTTGGGAGGAGGGTTTTCAGAAAAAGTGTATAAATTACTATCACAAAGGAACACAAGTGGTGGTAGCTGAAACTTCAAAGTGTTTTGTGCTCTGACTTTTTTTTTTCTACTTAAGTTGTCATGCTTGGAAAAACAGTAAAGGTGATGTCTATGACACAATATTCCTTGGCCTTCCTTTTTCTGAAGGGTAGAATTAGTATTGCATATGAATGCATTGAATGGTGTGGGTATGTTCTGATGTACAAAAGCAAAAGGAGTAGTAGTAACTAATCAGTCTGACGTGTAAGAGAAGTGTGCTGTCTTCAATCTGATTTTTATTTTCTCTGAAATAATAGATGGCTTTGATACAGACTGGTCCTGGTGCATTTTTTTACCCTTTCTGCCTAAACTGGTGTAGATACTTTGTCTTAAGCTACCATTGCTGTGCTCTTCTGACATGATTGTATGCATGGTGGACATAGGTGATCTGTTCACGCTAGTGCAGATAAAGTTTCTTGGCTGCACAGAGCTTTGGTGGGAATCTAAAACTAATGATGATATGTGTGTATATGTAGCAACACCATTAAGTTAACATTCTCCTATTATATCTAACTTAACAGTGAGCCTTGCCAAAGTGGAAAAACAGGTCAGTTTGACCTAAAACCAGTACCCTCAAATCCATACAGTTAGATGAAATTCAGTCTTGTAAGTGATACAATACTGATACGAGGAGTGAAATTGGCAAGAGACTATGTTCAAGACTGGAGTCTCCTCATAACAGGAGTTCCAGATTTTTTGATTCAAATTTCACTTTTTGCAGAGATGGAAAAAACCCAACCAAACAACCCAACCTCAACTAGACTTGATAAGCAGATGAGTTATGAGGGCTTACCTATGCCACAGCATATGTGTTCTCTCCAGAGCAGAGCTTTCTCCACTTTGTTGAACTGGACAGATGCAGTTCTGGTCTGGAAATTAGTACTAGGTGTTTACCCCAGAGAATGTTATGTTTGACTACTTCTGAAGTAGCAGTGGTGGATAGAATTTATCTTTCTGCCTGCAGCTGAAGAGTTTTTCTTTAGTGTATTCTGTGGTAGGGGCATTCTGTGTGACTTCTGTCAATTACAAAACTACCAAAGCCATGTTGATACTAACTCTTAAGTCTCTTACAAAACTAAAACTATTACTACTGAAAACTTAGGTGGGGGTAAAGAAGCTTACAATTTTGTGTGATGAAAAAGGTTCTGGTTACTATTAGCAGAATATTTTTTTTAAAATAAATTCTCAGAAGTTACTTTAAGTTACAGCGTGAAAAATACTCTGGAAACCTTCCTGTCTAAGCTGCAGGTTGGTTGGTTGGACTTTATTTATGGAACTTAAAACCTCTGCTTAGCAGGGTATCAATATATTACCTTACAAAAGAAGTATAGCTTCATGAAGTCAGGGAAGTTGGTTTCCAAGATAAGTAAAAACACTATGGATTGTTTAGACTGATTAATGTAGGACTTCAGCTATTCATTATTAGCAGACAAAATACAACAATTCCAGGAAAAAGCATCTTTCTTGAGGATATCTAGAGTGTTCTTTGCATTAAGTATATAGGAAAGCACAGATAGCTTAGTTCTCTATATTTGAGCAGGATCTTACTCAAGTAAACCTGGTATTACTGCTGTGTGGCTTGGTTTTCAAAAGTCTTGCTGGAATCTATATAGATTGCCTGGTTTGTATGTCTTAAGGAAAACAGTTTTCTTGTTGCCAGCTTCTGTTGCTGAAAACAAGTAAGCTATTTTTCATTCTTCTGAGAAGAGTGTAAGAGAACTACATCTGTCTTTCGAAAGTACCTCTGTTGTGGGATAGATAGAACCAACTAGGCCCCTGCTACAGTGTGTAAGTCAACTTTGAGCACACTTCCTCAGAGTAAATCTTGACAAAGATTACTCGTATGCTATAATGAAAGTCTAACTTACTACAAATACTTTTCTAAAACAAGTTTAAGTACTTGCTCACAGTCTTGATGCTGCTGCTATGAATACTTGAGCTATCTATGAAACTTAATCACTTGCTGAAATAAAATCTAATAAACCAAAGTCAGAACACTTTAATGCAGCACTATGTATCTTATTAGGAGTTATTTATGGACACTGTCTTACTGCACTTAGACTATAGTTCAGAAGTTACAAAAGATCGGATAGACAGATTCAGACAAGGACACCGTAATAAATTCAGAGGTGTAGTACTTAAAGATGAGTGTAACTAGGTGTAAAGATGGGGGTGATGACTTCATCTGGTTTGCAGTGATCTCGCATATGGCTGCAAGATGGAGATATCCAATGTCCAGATGAACTGTATTGGCTGGTCTCTTGAAGCAGTCAAGTAATTTGAGTATTGCCTTGATTACAGACTTTTCTTCAATGTTGACACATTGTGGGTAGGCATTCTTGCTTACTACCACAGTAGAAAGTATCCCTTAGCCCTTTTTATCCTGCCACTTTCATTATTCTAGATGTCTAACTTCTATTTCTGCCTACAGCTCTTGAAGAACCTAGTAATTCAATTTCTACTTTAGCTTCCAAGCCAGATGAAAGAAGCTTTGCAAAAAGGTATGAGGTCATGGAAGGTGGTTGGAGCTCAAATGGAGTGCTCTGAAAATGTTGGATGCTGTCAGGAAACAGTTTAAAGAAGGTAAGAGGAATGGGAGTCCTGCTTGAGGACACCAAGGTCAGGAATCTCAAGAAGGTGAAAGCAGTTAAGTGGTAAGAATGGTAGAGTATAGGAATAAGAGTTGGAGCCAGCAACCTCTCTCTTATTTTTCTGCTTTTTGTGGAAGGAAAAGGATAAATAGAAAGAAAAAGGCAAGTAAGGGAAAAACTGAAGGTGCTGGTAGTGGGCTGCTGAGTGAGGTGTTGAGTTAACCGTTTCTTGGTGGATTTGCTAGCATGTCTTCTCAGCAATGGTAGTTGCCTAATTCAAGACTTTGTAAGATTACTTCCTAGGTTGTTTTTCCTTCTGTGAAATACTGTTTTTGCTTCACTAAAGAGAATACAACTAACTTTGAACACGCTTTCAGACACAATACTAACCTACTTAAAACTTGATTAGAATATGGTAATTTATGATCTAGTTACAGTTAACTGACTCTGTTAATCTTAGTTTGCATCAAAGCTTAGGATTTTTTTTTTCCTGATAAGTCAGAAAATGTTTCTTGCAGTGAGGATAACTTTTACCACAGTTATGTCAAGGAGTTGCAAGTGAAGACCAGGATCCTTGACACTAGTTGCTGCACAAGCTCAACAAAGCCCCAGAACTAGCTCGCTCTCAACTGTGCTGGGTGCTGTTCATGCTACTCTTTGGGGGATTCTGCACACCACCAGGATTTTTCCCTCTATTTAGGAAAAACCTGTGCATCTCAGTGATGTAGCAGTCTACTGAATTTAAGTGTTTTCTATCAAATAACAACAATGTATATTCTTCCCTCTTGCATTTTTGGAGCTGTCATTGGCCACTGTATTAAGCAGAATGAGACAGAGAAATGGTTTTGAGAGTTGTGGAGAATCTGGAGTGTTTCTTGTCTTGAGATGGCTTGAAAAGTGAGAATCTATGAAACTGTTACCATCATGACGAAAGTATTACTCTGTCCAAGATAACTGAAAATATTTTGGCTTGGAGAAATTTTTACTGTAATCTGATTAAAATGATAAATTGCTCTACTTCCAAAATGAAAATTTATTTCAAGTTGATCTCTTTTGATTCTTAAGTGTTGGGGGAGGGGGGGGGGAAATTAAGCTAACCAACCTTGGCCAAAACTTTCAATTGATTGGCATGTTCTACAGCTATAAAATAATGTCCTTGACTGCAAGGAGGAGCTGTATATTCATTCATATTCCACTGGACAGTTTGGAGCTTTGTACTTATTCAATACCAGGATGTTGAAAGATAAGACTGTGAAAACAATTGTTTTTATTTATTTCCACTGCTTTGCACACTCGGGCAATCAGTATGACCTGATGCAGCTGCAGAGCGAATGTAAAAAGAGGGCTTCTGTCCCTCTCTTCCTGCTTGTTGGCTGCACTGATCCTCGTTGTTAATGAATTATTACTACAGGAAACTTTCCATGCTGGAGATCCCCCTGTACAAGAAAGGAAACATACATGTTCTCTGCTTGTTTCTCTAGCTCTTCTAGACAGTGATAGGTACTACAGCAGTAATGCCCAGTTCCTCTCAGTTTGAGAACATTGATTTTCTCAAGAGGAACTCTTCTTGTTTCTTCACAAGTCATTTTTTTCAATGTATCTAGTCTCATTGATCTCTTGCAAAGGGTTTTAATACTTCACTGTAGGTCACCCAGAAGCAATGCAATTTGAAAGTATGACAACAAAGGATGATGAGTAGCAGTATTGAACAGTCTTCCCCAGCAGCTGGTCATATCCTGCCTCCAAACCAGTGGAGAGAGAATGTTGGAAGTGTAATGGTCAGTCCTCACTACCTCTGGTACCTGACTCCTGATTCTTGGGTATTGGAAATGACTTAGAAGAAATCCAAGCTGAGAGGATTGGAGAGAGCATGGACTGCTTTCTCATCTGTTGCCAAGTAGTTGATATCCTGTGACAGATCCAAACTCATGTAACACATCTTTTCTGAGCTGTTGAAACTGTTAAATTGCAGACTCTTCTTCAAGTTAAACATCACTCTATTCTGAAAGGTCAACAAATTTGGGACTCACGCTGGAAGAGAACAAGTAGTTTCTCTTTTTCAGAACAGGAAACTAAAACTGCCTAATCAGGCTTTTCCTAGTGGAAAGAGAAGAGGAAAGCACTTGATAGCACT